AAGAATCTTGTGTATGATATGCCTCTTGTTTTCTTGTTTTTCCTCAATTGCCCATTTGTCTCAGGTAGTTTTGCTCTTGCTCCTGGCATTACGCATTGATGCTGAATATGATGAGGTGTGCGAATCTAATTGGCCGTTGACTCCAAGGCCTCACAGTGTTTCGGTCACGGAATTCGGTGCAGTTGGGGACGGCAAAACCTTGAACACAGTCGCGTTTCAAAATGCGATTTTTTACCTCAAATCGTTCGCCGATAAAGGTGGGGCCCAGCTGTATGTTCCCCCGGGTAAGTGGCTCACGGGATGCATTACGCTCACGAGCCATCTAACGCTTTTCCTCGAGAAAGACGCCACTATTCTTGGTTCTCAGGTTGGTACATTTATAGCTTATAAGTGATTTTCGAGCTTATAGCTTATAACTTATGACTTATAGCTGAAAAGCTAGCTTATGTGATAAAAGTGTTTGGTAAAATTAGCTGATAAGATATCTGAAATAAAAATTTCAACGAGCTTATTTGAAAAGCTACCTAAAAAGCTCGTCGTACCAAATGAAACTTATTTGAGTATAGAAAGCTTATAAGCAAATGTGTGCATTGTTTTGTACTTTATGATGGAGTTTGGCTTCTTGTTCTCAAAGGGACTTTTGAGGTCCTGCCGGAATAGATAAAACCGATTTGTAGGGGAGAGTTAACTTTGGATTGGGGAATATTGTAATTTAGAAAGATGTATTGGTTTTTGTGATTAGGCTAAATTGTTTTGGAATTAGAACCTAATATTCTTAGTCCTTATTCACCGATTGGAAAACTATGCAATCGTTTTTGCAAGTGTTCTTTTCGATAAAATGTAGACAATTATACACCAAATACTCACTGCAGCTCTTGCATTTTACTACAAAATCTTCTCCTATTAAGTCATTTTCGTGCTCTATAACTTTTTTTTCCATTTGAGCAACATGGCTGGTTAAATGAAATTGCTCCATCACTTGATTATTTTTATTTCTTGTAATAACTCATATATTTTTTAATTTTTTTTCTCTTTTAGGATTATAGCCACTGGGATTTAGTGGATCCCTTACCTTCATATGGCCGAGGCCTCGAGTTACCTGGTCGAAGATATCGTAGCTTGATCAGTGGACAAGATTTAACTGATGTTGTTATCACAGGTAAGCATACTTTAAAGTACTTATTTATTTTTCTATTTTTTTTGGTTGTCCATTTACTTTAATCTAGAATAATACGATTTTCTTTCACTTGGTAACAGGAAATAATGGAACTATCGATGGGCAAGGTTCAGTTTGGTGGGAACAACTAAATAATCATTCTTTAAATTACAGCCGACCACATTTAGTTGAACTCGTTGGGTCGAACAATATTGTTGTATTGAACTTAACCTTCATAAATGCACCCGCTTGGAACATACATCCCGTTTATTGCAGGTATGTGCACAATTCAATCTCTTTTCCATGGTGATTCCAATTTTGCCTTAGGATTATACAAATTTCTAACTTTATTTATTGCCTCACAAAATTTTTTATGCAGTAAATTTCTCGTTCAGAATATTACGGTTTTTTCTCCGTCCGACTCTCCACACACTAGTGGTGTAGTTCCAGGTCTGTCCGAATTAAGATCGATTCAATTATCATGCATTTACTAGTCAATAGCTTTCTGAAATGAGTTTTTGCTAATTTTTTCATTGCATTTGCTTAAATATGCTTGCTTTTCATTTATTACTTCAAAATCACATGTCTTAACCCAAAATGTGTGTGATTTTCTGAAGTTTGCTCACTCCTAATGCCAAATATTAGATATATTTACTTAACAACAAGTCTACACCCAACATTTACCCAAAGAAAAGAGTTAAAATTGTCCATTTTTTCGAGATGTTTTCTTTTTCCGAAAGATAGTTCCCTCGTTTTTTGTAATAATAAACCAAACTCCCGAACCCCAGATTCATTCATGCTTGTGAAATGAGTTTTTGCTAATTTTTTCATTGCATTTGCTTAAATATGCTTGCTTTTAATTTATTACTTCAAAATCACATTTCTTTACCCAAAGTGTACGTGATTTGTTGAAGTTTACTCACTCCTATTGCCAAATATTAGATATAATTACTTAACTACACTACACCTAACATT